CGTTTGTTCGTTTGTTCGTTTGTTCGTTTGTTCGTTTGTTCGTTTGTTCGTTTGTTCGTTTGTTCGTTTGTTCGTTTGTTCGTTTGTTCGTTTGTTCGTTTGTTCGTTTGTTCGTTTGTTCGTTTGTTCGTTTGTTCGTTTGTTCGTTTGTTCGTTTGTTCGTTTGTTCGTTTGTTCGTTTGTTCGTTTGTTCGTTTGTTCGTTTGTTCGTTTGTTCGTTTGTTCGTTTGTTCGTTTGTTCGTTTGTTCGTTTGTTCGTTTGTTCGTTTGTTCGTTTGTTCGTTTGTTCGTTTGTTCGTTTGTTCGTTTGTTCGTTTGTTCGTTTGTTCGTTTGTTCGTTTGTTCGTTTGTTCGTTTGTTCGTTTGTTCGTTTGTTCGTTTGTTCGTTTGTTCGTTTGTTCGTTTGTTCGTTTGTTCGTTTGTTCGTTTGTTCGTTTGTTCGTTTGTTCGTTTGTTCGTTTGTTCGTTTGTTCGTTTGTTCGTTTGTTCGTTTGTTCGTTTGTTCGTTTGTTCGTTTGTTCGTTTGTTCGTTTGTTCGTTTGTTCGTTTGTTCGTTTGTTCGTTTGTTCGTTTGTTCGTTTGTTCGTTTGTTCGTTTGTTCGTTTGTTCGTTTGTTCGTTTGTTCGTTTGTTCGTTTGTTCGTTTGTTCGTTTGTTCGTTTGTTCGTTTGTTCGTTTGTTCGTTTGTTCGTTCTTTCGCACGTTCATTCGTTCGATCGGACTGCTAAAGAACCTATTAGCCGGAAAAACTACAATTCAGCATTGTCTCTGTATCCGTACGCTCGTTCGTTGATTCTTCCGGTCTGCCAGTGTCAGTGACTGTCAGCTAAAATACCAACAAATCAACATTGTTCCTCTTCATAAGACTCACATAGTTCATTGATTAATTCGTTTATTCATTCGTTATCAGATCGCTAGTTCGTTCATTCGTTAGATCATCCCGTTCACTCATCCCGTTCACTCATTCGTTCACTCGTTTGTTCGTTTGTTCCTACCGACTGCCTGAGAGCCTGTTAGATCATCAGATCGTTCATTCACATCTTCGTTCACTCATTCGTTCCATATTCGATTGTTCTTTCGGATTACTAGGGAACAAGCTACATGGGAAAACAGCAATTCAGTATTGTCTGTACACCCGTCTTCAGTGAACATGTCGCGGTTGGACATTATGAGCGATCTTATTGCAGCCGTGATTGAGAGAGCTGACACCGTGCATGTGCGACATGTGCTCTGAAGACGACTGTACAACTCAGGCCTGCCTTGTTCGTCCTCTTATTCCTTTTTTTGTTCGTTTTTTCGTTCGTTAGTTAATGCGTTCGTTCTTGCGGTTTGTTAGTGAGTCTGAAGCGGAAAAACCAATAAGTCAACATTGAGTAATGACAATAACCTGTCTTTTTATTCTGGAAACTGTTTGTTTAGTTCAAAAAAAAAATAAAAATGCAGTCTCTACTAACAGATACAATACAAGAACTTGTTTCCATATTCATCTTCCAATTCCAAGATCTACATTAACAAAGAATTCTTTAATATATGAAAATTTAAAGATATATAATCACTTGCCGGCTGATCTCAAAGATATATATGATGATAGACAATTCAGAAGAGCTCTGAAAGTATTGTCTCACTAAAGCATATTATAATATGAATGAATATTACTGTGATAATTTATAAATCTTCATGTTTTTGTCCAAGCTATTTATTTATTTTATTGATTCTGTTAATTTTTGTATATTCTTGTATCTTTTGAGTGACTTAGGTATTGTATATCTGTTTTGACGTTTACATATTCTTTATGTGTATTGTAACAATGTATGTTGTCAATAAGATTTCATCTTGGACAATAAATCTCATTTGATTTGATTTGATTTGTCTCTCGTTCGTTTATTCATTCCTTTATCAATTCGTTATTAGATCGTTAGCTCATTCATTCGTTAGATCGTTCGTCCTTTCGTTCACACATTCGTTCACTGCTTTGTTAGTTCGTTCTTCGCGACTGCCAGGAAACCTGTTAGCTGGAAAAAACTGCAATTCAGCATTGTCTTAGAACCTGTACGCTCGTGCATTCGTCAATTTGTTTGTTCGTCAGTTCCTCCGGACTGCCAGTGCCAGTGACTGTCAGCTGGGCAACCAACATATCAACATTGTTTCTCTTCATAAGACTAACCTTGTTTATTCATCAATTCGTTTACTCATTCGTCATCAAATTGTTAGTTCGTTGATTCGTCAGATCACTCTGTTCACTCATTTGTTTACTCGTTTGTTCGTTCGTTCTTCACGACTGCCAGGGAGAACTGAAATTCAGCATTTTCTTTCCTCATAGGGTATTAATTCGTTTTTTCATTTGTTATTTCGTTCATTCGTTCGTACGTTTTTATGGACTGTTTGTTCGCGTGTTCTTTCTATGTGCATTTGTTCGTTTTCATGAACTGCTAGTAAAAATTTCGGCTGAAAAAACAACATTGTTTCAACCTGCCTCCTTCATTAATTCATTTGTCAGATCGTTCGTTCGTATTTACGTTCACTCATTCGTTTTTATTTCGATTGTTCTTCTGGATTGCTAAGGAACATGCCTGCTGTTATTGCCTGCCTTGTTCGTCCGCTCATTCGTTTGTTCGTTCGTTTATTGGTTCGTTAGTTAATGCGTTCGTTGTTGCAGACGTCTAGTGAGTCTGCAGCGACTCTGCGGCAAGAACCAATGAATCAACATTGTTCTTCTTCACGCTTATCTCGTTCGTTCATGCATTTGTTTATTCATTCATTATTAGATCGTTAGTTCATTCATTCGTCAGACCGTTCGTTGTTTTGTTCACTCATTTGTTCACTCGTTGGTTCATACGTTCTTCTATACTGCCAGGAAACTTGTTACCTGGAAAAAACTACAATTATTCAGCATTGTCTTTCTTCATCAGGCCTCTATTCTCTCTATTAAAAAACAACAAATCAACATTCATTCCTCTCAATAAGTCCTGCCTTCTTCGTTTATTCATTAGTCAGATCGTCGAATCATTCATTCGTTAGATCGTTCATTAGATTTTTCATTCTCTCATTCGTTCTTCATTTGATTGTTCTTTCGAGCTGCCAGGGAATATATTAGCTAGAAATACATCAATTCAGTATCCGTTCGTTTGATAGTTCGTTCATTATTTTGATCGTTCGTTAGTTAATGCGTTCGTTCTTCCATGCTGTCCGTGGAACTGAAACGGAAAAACCAACAAATCAACTTTTTCATTTGCTATTTCGTTCACTCGTTCATTAAACCGGACTGCCAGGAAACTTTTCAACTAGAGAAACCAACAATCCAGCACTGCCTTGCTCCATAAGATTTTCATTCGTCATTTCGTTAATTCGTTCGTTTTTCCGACCTGTCAATGAATCTTCAATATTGTTAGATCGTTCGTTTGTTCTTTCGTTCTCTCGTTTGTTCGTTTATTTTTTATTCTTCCGGACTCTCGAGGAACCTGTTAGCTGGTTACAATAATAATTCAGCATTGTTTTTTTTTTCCTTCCGCTTGTCTTTTCGTTCGTTCGTTCTCGTTCATTTCATTCATTTCATTCCATTTATTTGATCATGTTATGTATGTACAAATACATTTATGACAGGTCACATGATAGTATAAACATTTTTAGTAAAATAGATATACAAATGAGTACAATAAAAAAGAACATATTACCTATATAGATAAAATATGGTATAGACAATAATTCATATACCAATTATTACAGAACAACATATTAAAAAAAAATCAGTACACAATTTCATCAGATGATTAGAGCATACTAGCGAAAGAGAACGGCTGGATAATTAATCATTTTATTTGATTCACGATTCAGTATGTAAACCCTGTTTCATGAAGTTAGTATATTCCTCATGGGAGTAGAAGGCATTTTCAATCAGACATGATTTGATAGTTTTTTTGAAGTTGAATATATTCATATTTTTGACTTCAGTGGGAAGAATATTATATAGGCTATAGTTTATAGAATTCATTTTCGATTTAGTGAGCCGATATCTAGGCAATCTAATCATTTTTGCTCCTCTGGTATCATGGTGATGAACGTCTGAATGCGTTGTTAATATTGGAGATTTTTTCTGAATATCGTTAACCGTGTTCCAAATGAAAAGTGACTGGAGAGTGAAGATTTTTAATTTCTTGAAATGAGGTCTGCAAGATTCTCTATAATTTGCATTGCTCAAGATTCTTATGGCCTTTTTTGCTGTCTGAAGACAGTAGAAGCTGCCGATGAGTTACCCCACAGTAAAATTCCGTAATTGAGGTGGGACTGAATTAAGGAGAAATATACCGTTCTGAGTGTAGTAGTGTTAGTGATGCGTCTTAGTTGTCGCAAATTGAAGAGTGAGCTAGATAGTTTCATATTCAGTTGCCTAACGTGAGCCGACCAATTGAGCTTATCGTCTAGAGTCAGGCCCAATAGTTTTACTTCTCCCTCTTCTTGTAAGGACGTGGTAGTAGTGATAAAGAGTTTCTGAGTTTTTTCGTTGGTCAGTTTCAGTTTGTTGGCGATAAACCAAAGTTTGGCTTTTTCCTCTACTTCGTCAGAAAGAGAATTTAGGTAGTCATATTCTTCATGAGAATAAATCAATGTTGCGTCATCTGCGAATAAGATACTATTGTATGGAGTCATATATGGACATAGGTCATTGATGTAGATTATGAACAGTGAAGGGACCAAAACAGAACCTTGTGGAACACCAAATCTCACATCTCTGAATTCAGCTAGTTTGTTGTTAAAATATACAGCTTGAAAACGATTTGTTAAATATGATTCAATGAGGGTAAGAGTTACGCCTCTAATTCCATAGTAGCTGAGTTTGTCAATGAGGATGTCATGAGAGACACAGTCGAAGGCCTTGGATAAATCGCAGAGAGTGATTCCCATATGATGGCTTTGTGCGTGAGAATGGCCAGAGCACTAAGATAGTTGTTATCAGTGACACACAATGATTTATCATTTTCTGAACTATTAGACTATTGGACTTACTGAGGGTGTGTAAACATTGATGAAGAGGCAATCTTCTGAACCATTGACAGGATCACTTCCTTGAATGCATTGACTTCCTTCTGTGGTGCAATCAATAGTGTCCTCCCAGGGCGTTTTAGCTAGTGGAGGCTGTGAATAAAAAAAATTAAATATGAACCTGTGAACTCTAAAGATTGCGACAAATGTATTACCATACTCAAAAATTTTAATTTCGTGGAAATAGACCAACTCAAACTCAATAGTATCGAATAGAAATCTTCAAAAATGATATCAGTGCTCTAAGGTTGTTTTCTAGGACGACTTATGAAATCATCTACTGATTTTCAGATGCAGAACATCACTACGAAAATATTATTAGCGGTATACCTACCTAGCTGGTAATAATAAGGAAGTGAGTTGGTGAAATAGAAACAACTATATTACCACAGTTTGAAGAATATAACATATTTATCATAGACGTAATCAAGGACCCCATTGAGTCAAAATGATACTCTTTATTTATATGAACATGTACCTAGAAATGCATTTCCTCCTAGCTACAGCCACTGCAAGTTAGGTAAAAAAAACGTTATCTAAAATAGTGACTGAAATAACAGATCATATCTTCTGAAAATTGGCATGCCCCATCTTTTCAGACACTCTATTTCCTTCTTGCTTCAAAAATGATGTGAACCCAGTTTTGAGGGAGTTGAAGGAAGGTCCACCTTTTTATCAGCCCAAATTGTATGTTGCAAAAAAGAATCTATCTGACTTTGGATAGTATGATCTTGTGGGCCATAAGAAAATTCAAGAATTCGTTATTTTGCATTTTTGCAACCATTTTCCAGAAAATCGTAATCAACGAAAGGGGTCACGACATCGTTTCTCAACGCAATGGGTTAAACGATTGCATACGGAGGTGATCGCTTGCCGGAACGCATTTGAGACTGCTATTCCAGAGGCGTGTGGTACTGCAATACTTGCACTTGATCCGATATTATGATTATAATTTCAAAAAATCATTTGGTTTTTAACCAACTTACATCATTATATTGAGAAAAAGTTTTATCTTGATCGTAACAATACGCGTACTTTAGATGTTTGTGTTTGTATGCTTACCTCACCCCGCACAAGTTTCGACTTATGGGGCGTTTGGTCCCAGTGTTGGGACCAACGAGGTAATGCAATTGCAAAAAAAAAATCACCCTATATATTGAATAGATAGTTTTTTTTCTCCATCTCCCCAATACTATTCGCTTGACTCCGACCGAAAAAAATGCAACAGTTTAATTTTTTTTATTTTTCAGGAACTGATTTAGTTCAATTTCTAATTTTCGTTATTTTGTTTTCTGTTCCTGTTTCAATGTTTGTACCTCTTGATATGTGAGATCATTTGATTATTTTTCAATACTTTTTTCATCAGTTTCTTATTGGTACCAAATAATGTACACAACGTAAGTTACGTATTGCTTTCATTTTCCTAAAAATTGGATATAGACCCCACCCTGGGATGAATCTTAACTACGCCACTGATATATGTATGTGTATATTTGTATATGGAAGGCAAGTTGTTTCTGACCAGTAGGAATGAAACCAGTGTATATTGGGGCTTGCACGGGCTGGATCGTTACCACCGATACAACAAGGCCAGCAGACTCTGACGTAAACAGCTCGTGACGTCACCAAGAGAGGCCAGTGTTTTATTTTATCGCTTGTCGACTAACGCGTCAGTTCGTGTTAATTCATCGGTGATTCACGTATGTTTTTGAAACGGTCCCGAATTCTTTTGTTGTTTATTTATCAAAATAATTGCGCGGAAAAATTACTGTTTTGTGAAATATTTTGTGTTGTGATCGGCGAAATAACAATGCCTTTCGAGTGCTGTGTTCCCTTTTGTCGGGGAATTATGTGGGTGGTTCAAAAGTTCATGCTTTTAGTTTCCCGTTGGACGAGGAGCTATCGAAAATGTGGGGATATGCAATTCACCGCGAGGACTTTACTCCATCTAAGTTCAGTAGTAAACAGAGCTTAATTTATAATGATGAATTAATAATAGAAGACAATTACTCTCTCATAAAAAGTATGAGTAGAGGAAAAATAGAAAAGCTTTGATTGTGTAGTTAGTTTTGTATTCGTATATTATAGTCAACAAAATCATCTCTGAATTCGAGGAAATTTTCTTGAATGTTCATAATAAATGGGCATTTTTAATTCTCATTCTCAAATTTCTTTCTGAAAACGGTCATTTGCCTCGTGGCAATGAATGCAGAATGCATTCCAATGATCAAATTGCAACTATCATATTAACATGAACTACAAACACTCTACTTAAAAAGGTAAAACTGCATTTATCATGATATTTATCATGAAGATATTTGACTAAAAAGTTCCAAATTTCACCTTATTTTTCACCTGTCTTCTGGATGGCATTTAGAACAAATTTCCCTTCTTTTTTCATCATATTGGACAATTTATATACAATTCAACTATAAATATGATTTTCTTGAGATTAATCCATATTTAGTGAAAAGAAGGAAGCATATCATTCAAAATAATGGCGTGTGTAATGTCATTCGAAAGCAATCTATTGACATTTGACATCTCGTATTTTGATTGACTATTGATTAAATGGTCGTCATCTGGAATGCTTGTTCAGTAAATATGAAAAACTCGCCATAAAAATCATATTTCCTGTAGAATTTTCTATATAAAAATGTGCCATCGACGTATATCATGAGTATATAAAGTGTCCAATGACAAAATAAGAGCAAGTAGCTTCGAATGCCCCCAACACAAGGGGAGAAAGAAGGCGAAATTTCGAACTTTTTCTTGAAATATCTCAATAAATAGTGGTTTGTTCACATTTTCATTATAAAATTCGGGTTATCAGACAAAAATACGTGAGTACCGAAAAAAATTTTCAAAAAAAAAACCATCGCATGATAAATGCAGTTTACCCTTAAAAATTACGGTTTCAAGTGTAACGATCCACTTCGGTGAAAAATCCAACAACAGAAAATTGTAAACACTCACTGGTTATATTTTCAGGTAATAGGAATTCTCCAAGATAAATATAGGTAATTGTAACAAACGGCATGTCAATCAAAATAAAATACATTTTCCACAATTTTCTTTCGATCAATCTCACGATTAGTTTATGTTCTGCGGGCCCTGTATAAGTAGGTGTGAAGTTTACCTTCACCACAATTTTTGCCAATATATTTAATTCGAATGGGTTGCTGTAGGTGGATATTTGTGTTTTATCCTGGTTTTTGCTTTAAAACTTCGTTTTTCCATAATAAAATCGAATGGGGTGCGAAGAAGGGCTCAGTTGACGACTGGCATCCTTTTTTAACCGGAAGCCCTTCAAAAAACAGCAAAATCGGCTCAATGATGATCTAAAACTAAAATCGAAATACGCGGTCGCCTTATAGCGCTATAAGCGCTTGTCGTTTCGAGCCGCTGGTTAGGCCTCACTAAGTGACGTCACCCACGGAGCATGCAGGCCTTGTTGTATCGGTGGTAACGGCTGGATACGGGAATGCTTATGATCTATAACCACCACCTGTCAATTGACATACAAAACGATGCACAAAAATTCACTAGTTTGTGAAAATGAAGAATTAGACATTCGTAACCTACAAGAATTTGAAAATTTTGAAAAATGTGGCCGGCGTTAATTCAACCTTACACAATGTAACGGAAATTCAATTCAAAAAATCATTGTAGTCTGTGCGCTTTACTCTCACATTAACAGCAACTAGGTACTGGTTCTCACGATAGTGGTAGGGGTGGTAACCACCCCATACGGCGTCACAACGGCCTACGTGGGTTTTATCCTGGATCACCGTGTTAACCTCAGCTAACCTAGTATCACAAAATATGTCCATGTATCAATTTCTGCATTAATATGTCACTGTGTCCTATGCAATTCTATGAATTTAACAACGTTTTAACCAATCTCGCCAAAGATGTAAGTGCTATGCATAACCATAGTGTTGTCACAGAATACCCACAATGGGTATTCTGCGTTGTTGTCCAATGTATTTACACTATCACATCAATGTAGTTTCCCTGATGATGGAAATGAATATTTACGAAAGGTTAGATCATAAAGAGTATCATTTCACATTGCTGTTAGCCCCAATATACACTGGACAAAATTATGCCGATTGAGATCAACTTACCTCTATACGAAAATTCAGCGTTCAGCAGTGAGATAAAGAACAATTTTATTCCCAGATTTCCTCTAATATTTCAGAATCCTTGAACGGTACTGCTCTGAGATTCAGAGGGCGCAATTCACTATAGTAAATATGCATGGAGAACATGTCGAACCAATTCAATCAATATACAGGGAGTTAGGTATTTCGCTTTCGCTTTGATAAAAATTAAAGTGCCTTTTTTAAGTACGGCACTGGTCATATTTTGATATTTCGATGAAATAACGAAATGCATTTTGTTGCTCCTCCATACTTGTTCATGATTATTAGGAATATCATGTTTTGCAAGTTTCTGTCTCATTATCTCAGTTATTGACCACAATAATCAATCACGTTTATGAAATACTTCAGCATATGATAATCTTGTTGGTCATCTTCAAATTTATATATTTTATCTCGAATTAAGTTTTTTACCAGGAATCTTGATCTGAAATTTGGAAATGACCAGCTTCCAAATCATATGATAATGAGCTCGCGAATTGGTGAACATGATTATTGCGGTCAATAACTCAACACAAATGAGATAGAAACGAGCAATTCTAACATCATAAACGAGTAGTGTTGAGAAGCACCAAAATGAATTACGTTATTCATCTCGAAAACCATGGACTATAATAAAAAACTGCTGTTAGAAAAAAGTGAGATAATTGATTTTGACATTCTTAAAAATATCAAAATATGGTTAGTGACGTACTCCAAAAAAGTTTCATTAATTTTCATCATATATTATAGAATGCGGCATACCTAACCCAACCTAACCTAACCTATATTGATTGAAATGGTACGACACGTTATCGATGCACATTCACTTTAGTGAATTGCCCTACGAATTTCAGAGCAGTATCTACCTCTCAATCTATAGATTGGACCAGAATTTGTGTTCGGAATCCCCAAAACCACAATACACGGCTGACTGGCAAGGTGGAC